TAGCGGTAGTGAGTTCCACAGTCAAGGGCCATAAACGGCAAATGCACGGTCCCCCCAATTTATGGATCGGGACCGTGGGACCACTAGGGATACGTTTTCCGAGGCGCGCAAGGCTCTGCACGGGACATAAACAGATAAAAGATCTGCCAAGTAAGGTGGGGCAAGGCCGTGTAAGGCTTTAAACACAAATAAAAGAGTCTTAAACATGATCCTAAAATGTACAGGCAGCCAGTGTAAAGTGTGGAGAACCGGAGTAATGTGGGCAAGCCTGGGAGTGTTGGACAGAAGCCGAGCTGCTGCATTTTGGACCAGCTGGACTTTTCTAAGCAGCGACTGAGGTATACCACTTAAATGAGAATAATTTTCTTGGAGATGGGAATGAGTTCATAGCTGATCAGTGAAAGCAGTTCAGCATTACAGTTTTTAAGAAGTGGTAAAGGCCAGATTTTGATTTCTTGTTAATCTAATGCTCTGGTCCTCGCTCTGTCCCTGATCCTTTCTACAGGTATCCCTGGCTCTGGAGCTGATGAACAGTCTCTGGTTACATTAACCTGTGTTTGTGTGTTTGCTGTTTTGTTTTTGTTATGTCCTGATGCTTTTCTTCTTTTCCCTCTCCTCTATCCACTCACTTCAATCAGTTGAGGCAGAAGACCGCCCACCAGGAGCCGGGGTCTGTTTCTGTTGGGCTTGTTCAAGAGGGATTTATTGGGTTTTCCTTATAATAGTGTAGGGTCTAGACCTTACTGTGGAAAGTGCCCTGAGATGTTTGTTGTTGTGAATTGATGCTATACAAATAAATTGAATTGAACTGAATTGAAATTGGTTTGGAAGGTCTGGCAGTCAACATGAATACCAAAGGACCTGCTCTTAGATGTTGCTTTGTCTGTGGTTAATGGTTTCAAATAATCTCAAGGGAGGATGCAGGAACATCCACTTAAATGGGACATGCCATTTAAGCCTATTGGAATTGAATATTTAAAAAAAATAATTAAGAGATTCAATGTCAGGAATGGAGCAGGGTCTTTGAATAGATGAGCTGAATAAATTATGCAGGAACTCCTGGTCAAGGAGGTGTTTGAACTTTTGCTGAGTGATGATTCGACAATAGTATATTTTGTTTCTAAAATACTTTGTATAACGTATTATTCCAGAGAAGGCCTCATGTCTTCTTGACATTAGTCTGTGCACACAAACGTGACTTCTTAAGGCATTTTGATTTGTGATGCACCAATAACAGATGGTGAAAATATCACTTGAAGGCCTGAAAAATTAAAAGCTTGGCATAAAATTTGTGGAACTTTTCTTTCTACTCTTCCTGGTAAATATAAAGTGATTGAAAAGGAGAATAACTCTTAAAATGGCGAAGCTTCAAACAGCTGTTGTATTGTTAAAATGAAAATGGGTAATTATTCGACATTTTAACTGAGTATTGACCCAGTCACTCTTTTGCAAAATTAGTTCACTTAAAATGCTGTTAACATTATTTTACCTATTGATCCAGCAAAGTGAAGTATCCTTGTTCTTTTAATGAGTTAGATGATTGAATACTAGACTGGAAATGAGGTAGGGGTGGGCGGTGAACACAAGAAGAAGTGACTGCAGGGGGTTATAAGAGGGTCTAAAAATTGTTTCAGTAGGCTCGACAGTGATAAGTGTCACTATTTTCATTCTCCGAGGTGTTGCCAGTATAATAAACTAACAGCCAATAATTATACAAGAGATTTACCTGCAGACAACACTGGCTTGGGAACTGAAAGCAATAAACAGAGACAATGAAGGATGTATTCATCTAAAAATGTAACAACAAAAACGGTTTTAATGGACTCCTGCCCCCTATTCTTTTCTTCTCAACAAAGAACACCTGGAGATTGATTATCTAAGCAGTGCAACAAAATTAGTTTCTAAAGCAATGCTTTTCAATACAAGTTGATGAATAAGCAAAACAGAAAGCTCTGACATTCATTTAAGTTCAACATCATCTCTCTCTCTCTCTCTCTTTCTCTCTCATATTCCCTCTCCCTCCAGCACTCCAGCTGCTGAAAGTGACAGATTAAAAGCAGGTTAAAAGAAGGTCAGACATCAGCTCATACCAGTCTCGAAGAGTGGTTTATACTATCTGGATGCTAAAAAGAAATTCTTGTCCTTCTTTGTTTTCATTTCTAACTATTCTAAATTGAAATTGTATTCATTACAACTCCATGAACAGCAGCAAACCTTCCTTCAACTTCTTGATACAGAAATCATTATTTAGAGCATGTAATACAGGGCTGTTGGACAATGTTGCCCTCTCTCAAGGCTAAGTGAACCAATTACTTTCACTTGATCTGCCCAGGCAGTGTGGCAATAACGAAATATTGAGTTGGACATTACCTTAGCAGCAAATGATGAGCTTGGCTTCTCCAGGAGGTCCCAGAGTTTCTTCCTCTTATCGGAACAACATGTGGTGGAAAACTCGTCTCCTTCCCTCTCCCTCTGGTTCTCGGCTTCTCTTTTGAGCTCTTCGTTCATTTGCTCCTTTTTCTGGTGATACCTGGCCTGGCAGCAGGACTCCAGGTAGATCTCATCGATGCCCCAGAAGTCCAGCTCTTGACTAAAAGACAGGGCGCACATTTCCTCCATCATGTGCAACTTCCCAGTGCGGTAGAAGTTCAGGATGGAGGTGAAGGCGCCGGGGTGCCTGTCAAAAAAGTACTCATTGCTGTCCAAGCTGTAGTCGTCACATATCTCCATGATAGAGTCATGGGTGTTGCAGTCTCTCAGTTTGCCCAGTCTTGTGCGGGGCAGCCTGTCTAACGTCCTCCACAGGACTTCATGGAGAAGGCCCCCGACGTTGAGTCTCACTCGGCTGCAGTGGTTCTTGCTCCGGATGATGTCCATCGTATCTGGCGGCAGAGTGCTGGCCGACTGAGAACTTGCTTTGATCATCTTCACTCAAGTCACTCAGTCGCTTGAAAAGACTGGACGATGGAGTCTGGCAGATTAAGAAGACATAGTCCTGTTGGTGACCACCTCAGGGTCCGTCATCCTTTCCTGTGGCTGCAGTGAATGAACAAAGACATTGAGATGAAGTTGAACAGTCGCTGCCGTTGTCCTATGTCAGAGAGTTTACCCACTCATCAGAGAACCAGATGGATGCGCTGTCCGGTGCTGAAACGCCCGTCTATCACTACAGACCTGCGTCTGTCGCTGTCCACGAACTCTGGTGCTGAAACGTCTCCTGGGACAGCGATCAATCGCGAATACGAATGTTCTGCCAAAGTGTTCATTAGAGGGATCTTAGCTGGACTAACAGCGATTATCAACTTTGTTTAAGACCCCAGAACACATTATATCATCCTCAAATACCAGCCTGCAGACTAACTTTCAAGTTCTTGGTAGTGTTGCCCGCCCATTAGAGAATTATTTTTCCTTTTAAAGAACAGCGATTATAATGATATATAAAGTTAATTTTAGCTGCAGCGAACATGGCAAAATTATTATTTCTAACTAAGTTATGCCACAGAAGTATATATTTACTGTAAACAAATGTCTACACGATCTGTCAATCACGCCAGTAATATTGTACGATGCGCCATATAGGCTAGGCGCATAATATAGCGCGCAAACCAAGTAGGCTACGGAGCCTTATAGCCGATTAAAATGAAATCCGAAACTAAAATATATTAGAACACAGTCAAGAAATATGATACATACCAGTCTTCCATATATCCCGGTTCACCTCTTGGACGCGCACTCGCAACATTTCAAGAGTAAATGCGTTTAAACTTATGTCCGTCCAGATCTCCGGCGCTCTGCTTGGAGCTGGTGGAGGCATCATGGACTACGTACCGACATACTGAAAAATATAACAGTTTTAAACAGACATCACTATGTCCAGTCTCCCCTGTCCTCTCCCACATGGGCCGAATCAACAAGTAGACTCTTGAGAGTAGCTGGGGAAGCGCTCTGCACCTCCCTTCTACCTGTTCATAGTGTGTGTGACGCTTTCCGGCGCCTGTGACTGTGAACGGGATTCTGCAGAGGCTGATTTCATTGAGACTCCTCCAGCGGCGCAGCCTGTGTGATATTAACCCTTACACAGCCAGCGAGCCACAGCTCAGTGGATCCACATTGTTGTAGGTGACCAAACGATGTTTTACACTAGGTATCCTCGTCCTTGGACATAATTGGATTAAAAGCTTAGTTATTTTTTACGAAGTTACTATAATCTTATAGACATCATGGCTAAACTGTTCAGGAGTATTATTATAGATCATTTTGGAAGTAAGGCCTCAAAATGCACCACAATAATAGAACATTATTCAGTCAAGCAGAGACAATCTGAGAGGCTTGGTTGCATGACACAGTCAGGTTCAATGTAAAAGTTATTCATTAAGCCACACAACAGGACTTAACGCTTTGGAGACACAATTAAACTGATGCCAAACCAAACCAAAACACCACTGCTCAAATTTAATAGATATGCTAAATGTGAGTAGAAGTAGGTTTAAGTTGTTCCTTCAAAAACCTGCAGAGTTCCTTACAATTTATGGTGGATCCACCTTGGACCAGCTGCTTTTTACACAACATATAAATCTAAACTTTCCACTCAGCTTCACTCTGCAAACAGCAGGCATGTGTCAGTGTGACAGATGTGTGGCCGGCTCTGTTTACAGTACAGGCAGTCCCCTCATTATGCTCAGGCTCTGCGTTTAACACACAAAACCATATTCTAGCCCTCAGCGTTGTACAGATCCCCCCAAAAATGACATGTTCAAGGCCCTAGTCATATTTCAATGACTTTTTTTTGTTTTACTCACAATTTAATAATTACAGCATGTGGCAATAATTGACTTGAACAAATCACTGTCTCAAAAACATTAACATATTATATACAATGTATTATGTATTGTTAAATAACAAAATAATTATATACTGTATAATACAAATATAAAAAACAATGGTACAAAGTGACAGCGTCATCAACATGTATGAGTTGAAATGTGCAGAAAACACATGTGCTTTGCTTGTTTTTGAACTCCTAGTGTGTATTCTTTGGTTTATATCGGACAAGCAAGTCCCCCTTTGGCTGTAGCATCCCAAATCCATAATGACTTGGATTCACCTCCGGCATCTGAGCATTTAGGTCACACAGCTCCAAATCGTAGTTAGTCAACACCATGTAAGCAAACCTCACGAGTAAACACAGATGAAACACAAAATTAGGACAAGCTGAAATAAAAATTAATTAAATCCTTGACATTTTGAGGTCAATCATTAGGTTATATGGTGCACTAATTCTAGGACACTTACTGTTTGATGGTATTGATAGCAAACTGCTTTCCCACACAACCATTGGTCCCTGCACCCCATGGCATGGTGTAATATTTCAGGCACCTCCCTGCTTTATAAAAATCTTTCTTCACTGAGCCGTCTTCATTCAGGAAGCGGTCATACTTATATTTCTAAAAAGGAAACATTTTTAGCAGACATTAGATGCAAGCAATGAGAAATGGCAGATCTAATAGGGGGTATAAAGATAAACCCATCCATCCATTATCTATACCGCGTATCCTGACATTGGGCGGGGTACACCCTGGTCAGGTCACCAGTCTATTACAGGACTGACATTTAGAGACAGACCTAAGCTGCATGTCTTTGGACTGTGGGAGGAAGGCAAAGTACCTGGAGAAAAACCAATCAGGCACAGAGAGGACATGCAAACAGATCAGCAGGTGCTCATACCCAGACCCTTCTTCCTGTGGTGCGACAGTGCTAACCACTGTTCCATCATGCCGCCCATACAAACCATTATGAATCAAAAAAGCTATAGAAAAGTCATATTTACAGCTGCATCGGGTGAAAACCACAGATTTGAACAAAATGTGTTTAAAAATTTGCTTTGCCCTAGTGTGTGCCTTTCCTGTGTGTGTATGCATATGTGTGACGCACCATCTCCTGCCAGTGTTCAATATCATGCCTACTTCTTAAAGATGCAGGTCCTGAATAAAATGCCGGGAACAGTACAGATAGGAGCAGACAGTGCTAACAATAGTGTTAGCAACCACTTTCAGAGTGCAGAACATGCAGCGCTTGTGTCGAGTGTACCGGGAGAAACATGAACCTTGCTAGTATCAACATTACAAAGGTGACGTATTGTTGAACTGATGGAAACAGCACAGTTTGCTGTTTGAGGAAAGTAACAATGCCACAGTTGTTAGGAGCTACATCACCTGATAATTCCACTTGGGTTGAAGTCAATAACTGAAGCTATTTCATTTACAAGGATGCACCTGTGTTGTTGAAAATCTGAGATTTGGACCAATGACAGTGATTCTGACGCTGAGGCACACACAGACAGGTCAGCAAGATTGAAGTCAAAAATGCATTCCAGCTCTGTATGATAAGGTGAAACAGCAGCTGGAGTTTTACTGTTCACCAGTGCTCGTTGTTTACTATTGTTAAAAAGAGCAAACATGTTCTGTCTATTTGGCTTTTGCTGCTTGAAATACAACAGAGCTTTGAGGAAATGCCGACTCTTTTTAATTTTATACTCTAAACAGATGCTTTAATGCATGTAGTCTTTCAAATAAAAGCTAAATTACAATTGAATATCTGCTGAATCAAACTGAAATCATTCTGAATCACACTGTATCATATTATTACAAATTCTGCTGTATTGTTTTTGTATCTAATCGTGGACCACGTCCTGAGATGTGTATCAAATATTGTGAGGAGAGATACACAACCCTAATGTCTACAAAAATAACAGTGTTGTTTGCTTGTAGAATTTCTGGTGAACAGATTTTTTTTAAAGCAGCCTTGCAACATCCTTTCCACACGTATCAGAAGCGTTTCTTTTCCCGTGCTTGGCTAATCTCTCATTGGTCCACAGCTCTGGGTTGGACCTCTCACTGGGCAAGACAAGGTCAGCTCTGTGCAGGTGTTGGTTCCACCTTACATAAACAGCTACAGGTGCTAATTTCTCTTAAGTCTGCCTCCAGCTAGTCCCAAAGATAATTACTACTATTCTTGTTGGCAACACAGGAAGGTTTTAATGGAGTGGAGAGTTTGGGAACAGGAAAACTATTACTTTAACAAAACAAGACAACAAACCTGCGGCTCTTGGTAAATCTCCGGGTCCATTTGAGGGCTGTTGAAGGGAAACAAGCACACTCTGTCTCCTTTTCTGAGCAGGTACTCTTGGCCATCTGCCATGTGGAGTTTCTTTTCCTGCACAACCTCTCTTGTGATGAAGGGGGCAGCAGTGAGTCTCAGTGTCTCTTCCAAGGCACTGTCTGGAAAGGTGCAGAAATAAAGGGTGGTAATAACGGCGAAAGAGCAGCAGCATTTTTTTTTCCTCACAAATATTTCTACAGAGTTTTCTTTAGTTTTAAGGCTTTTTATAGGTACTCTAGTTAATTTATTTGACATTATGCCTAGTTTGCTTTTGGGTGTATTACTCCAACATTTCTCTAAGCTGTACTCTGTCAAGAATGAAATTAGTTGTAACAAATTTGTCATTTTGTGCACTATATATGTACATTAGTACTGTACAATACTATACTTGGTTCTGCAAAAAGAATTAAAGGGTGAATTCAAACTATGGTTTGCATGTAATTTTACTGACACACATCAACCTACTACCACTAAATGTTCTTCTGTTCACACACACGCTGGGATAAAGCCCTCACCAAACACAGGAGTTTTCACAGCTCTGTCCATGAAAGGAGCCTCCTGCGAGATCCAGCTGAACTCCCTCTTCACCGCTGTCAGAGCTGGAGGATTTGTCAACAAGTAGCCCAAAAGCCAAAATGCAGCAGGACCAACATTACCCTGGAAACAAGCAAAGACTCGGATGAGCACTATGATAAGTCTGTCTCTCACGCTCCTGGCGTTGCATAGTGAGGGCGCAGGTGGTTATTTGGTACAGACAAATAAAAACATCACATGTTGATCTTTTGCTAGCGCTGCAACAAAGCACACGTTTCAAATAAAATTAAGCTCAATTCAATCAAAGACCCTAATGAATCACCAGTGCTGACATGCTGAAAAATAACAGCTTCCTTTCATGTGTCTGGGATGAGGAGAGTTGTGCTCTGGATAGTCTCACTACTGGCAAAGCACAGCGTGCTAATGGTTTACTTAAAAAGGGAAACCATTGGAAACCTGACATCCCCTGCCATCTGCCTGTGTGTGAGGGTGGGTTGTTGAAGCTATTTTATTCTATGGCAAGCCACAGCACTGTCTGCCAAGAGTAGAAAATAGTATAACGTAGTGGACGCCACAGAAACACAAATACGCTACAAAGTGTGATTAAAGATGACTTTACAGAACATAAACACTGCTGATGAAAGAAGCTGTGTATCCACTAAAAGGAGCATCACAATGACACGACATTACCCAGACTTTTAGTAGATGCAGCCTAGAATACATATATACACTGATTGTGGTTACAATACAGCATGAACCTTCTCTAACAAGTCTTCTGTAAGTTCAAGTACATCATGCAAAAAACATGCTAATTTCTCTCACTAAAGTAAAGTTTTAGGTGAACTGAACATATGAGTCAGAGACAACTAAAGCTATGACTCAAAACGTGTAAATCACATGGAAATAAACCAGTGACAAGTGCAAAAAAGGATGAGTAAGCAGGCTGCAGGATATGGCTAATGCTGAAATAAATGTCTGATTAACACCTCTGATGAAACTGTAGGAATATAAGGCAAGACTGTACGAGTCTAAACTGAGTCCAGTCAAATGATGAAGTAATTTGATCAATGACATAAAAATATCAAAGTTCAATACCCACCACTAATAACTGTGTAATCTGACATAGTGACCATCACATCAATTGTGTAGTCTGAACCAGGCATTAGTTGACTAACAGGCTAATCTTGTCAGTCCAGTAGAACACTCTGGTTATTGCTAATGTGACACAAAGCACTACGCTAGACATAGCTTGAACTACCAGGTCCTTAATATTATCAAAACAAATGTTAGCTTTAGCTGCAAACCCAGAGAAGAAAGAACACAGCATCTGAATCAAATTTGAGTCCTTTGGCTGCTTTTAATTTTTTCCATCTCAAAAAGCCAAACTGATGTTTAACCATGGTTTTTGTTCTTCGTCTCACTCGCTCTGCATATACGAACACCACCTCTTCGGTCTGACACCCAATGGCGTCAGGCCGATGGCTGGCTGTTTGAAATTTGTGGTTAAAAAAATGGTTCTTATAACCGTCACTGGGTGGCTAATTTATGGACAACGTCTTAACAACACTGGGCAGAGAAGCTGGAATAACAACAGAAGGGCTGTAGGTAGTAGAGTGGTAGTATAGCAGAGAGCCACCACATTTTGTCCCATTTTCACTTGGCTTCTCAGACAATGCTTTAGTGAATGCACCTTTAATCAGAAATTCCACCACACTCAACATTCAGCTATATAGTTATCTCACATTTTGAGTTTACCTTTGTGGCTGCTAGTGAATAATCAGACCTTTGGTCTTTGTAACCTCAAGACCAACTCGAGTTCAATTCAAGACCAAAACTAATATACAGTAGGCAATAGCCTAATTTTTGCCTCGAAAATGTAAAAATAAATTATTTTATTGGGTTTTTTGAAGAATTTTTAAGGTGGGAAGAATTTAGGTAAGTATGTGGACACTGCTCCATAACTAAGCTTTAAAAATCAAACCAATTTAAAGGATTTTGACTAATTATATAATTCTCATACTTAGATTTTTCAAGAGAAATATTTTAAATGCTGTACTGTAGTGACAGAGAAAACTATCAGTAAAGTTGCCATATATTTTATTTTGATGCAAAAAGTGCCATAGCAGCCTTCATCCATGTGAAGCCTGACACCATTAAAAACACTGTCTCGCCACTGATATTTGCAATCCTACTTCATGTTACCGAAGTCCTGTCATGGCTAGTCCACTCAAAGGCAGACTAACTGCTGTGAAAGCTAAGGTGAACAGCACACTCATGTGCCCAACATGAATACTGCACCTCTTTGTATCTACTTTGAGGTCAGTCTCACTTCCTTAAATTGTCCCTACGTTTCCCTCACTTGTGTCTTTTCCTTGTTTTTTTTAGACCCGCCTACGAAAGCTATGAGGAAAATAGGCAAGGAGAAAATGTAAAAAGGAAAGGAATTGAGGAAAGGACCTTTCCTCTGGCCCTTCATCTGAAGTGTCCAACCATCAACTGATTTTTGATAAAGGGGCATCGGTCCCTAAAGAATTCCATTAACATGTCTCCTCAAAACCCTCCAAGCTCCAGTCCTTCAAGATGACAGATGTCTGGGTCGAGCAAAGAGCAATCAAATACGGGAAATGGGTTTTACCCATGGCCTCTTTGAGTTCAAGTCTTCGGGTCATGTGCGACAAAAACAACCCCACAGAGATATAGTGGCAGCGAGGTTGTCTGACTACAAAGGTAATCTGCCTAATCTGTAGATGTGATCGCACCTTTGTTCTGACATCTGACTCACCTGTGTAGCCCAGAGTTGCATCAGTAGTGCCTTCGTCTGTGTCTCCTCATCAGCCCCTTCCTCCTGTAGGAGACACCTGTAAGCGTGAAGCCAGAGGCTTGACCCTGCGTCTTCAGTCAGACCTGCTGGAGCCAAAGCCTCCCACAGTTTGTCTCGAATGCTCTGGGCTGTCCTCTTCTCGTCTGCCATGTAAACATAAACATCACAAAGTGAGTGAGTGAGTGAGTGAGTCACAGGCAAAATACAAACAGGTAAACTTAATGTGAATGTCTTGAATGAACTGCCAGGTTTATAAACTGATATTGTGTACATGAAGTGGTAGAAGAACAATATTTCAAGTATGACTGGCACAATTGGAGGAGTTGTGCAGTAAAATTGCAACTAGCTGACTCTCCTGAACAACTATTAACACTATCCAGTATAAGGAGAAACATGGCCTGGCGGAAAGAAGGTGCCTTCAAAAACACAAAGCCTTGTGTAAGTGGGTAAGTGAAACTCTCCATAGCAACCGCAAAACAAAGGTGCTGATTGACGATGTCAAACCACATTAGCTGACACACAGTGACTAAATGCAAATTGAGGGCAAATGTCACACCTTTTCCTGACTCACTGCTTGTAATGCTGATGATCTCTATTTCCACCTGATTTGCAAGTGACATTTTCAGAGACAGTAGTGCCTTCAGACAACTGCAGATACTTTGTCAGTATATGAGGAATATTACTTGTACGTGTCATTATTGCTGAATGTTTTACGTTTCTTTCCTACCCGTCTGGGAGTTACCACAAAATTTTGTTGTACTGGAGACAATGACAAATAAAGGAACTATCTGTCTGACTTAAGTCCCAGAAAGTTTTTGATCTAGACAGCCTTTGGGTCAGTATACAGTCCCTCAGCTGACTGGTGGTTCCTGTGTCAGTACCTGACTTTAGTGTGCCCCTTGCTATTTTGGTTAAGAGACCATCAAACTTTTTGTAATCCTCATAGACACTTGAGAGATCTGCACTGCTGTTGTTGTTCTTCTCTCCTCCAAACAGTGTCAGGTACCCTGCCCTGCAAAAAAAAAAGAGCACAGGCAAAAAGTGAGGGCATGTGCGAGACCCTGTGGTTTATGATTGACAACCTTTTTTTTTGTTTTGATAAAATAATTGCCAGCCCACACGATATTTCATAACACATGAGCAATTAATTCCCTTTCAACTGAAAATTTTCCACCGGCCCATACAACACACAGCATCTTTTTTGTGTCTGAGGTGTCGCCATGTGGCGTCACAGTAAAAAACTGCCATGATATACTGTTCCACATTCCAGAAAAGCTCTCTACTTTGTTTATCAACGATGCCTTTCATCTTGACAGGGTGATTTACATCTGCTCTGCCAAAACTAGTTGCATGTTCAACTGGAAGGGTGACCTGATTTACTTGGTACTGCCATCCTAGTTTTTTTATGCAACGCAAAAGACAAGACATGAACAGGACAGGGAAGACAAACCAATGGATACAGGACATTAACAAAAGGTCAAAGGGATACTACAAGGTGTATGTCAAGTGTGCGGATGGCAGAGGGCAGACCCAGTGCTTGGTTCCCTCCAACATCTGTTCTGCCAAAATGAGTTCAACCAGAGAGGTGGCCTCGTTTGTTTGCGTTTGTTTCTTGATGCATTTACAAACAGAACCTCAGAGTCGACCAGCGTGTAAACTGTTTAACTGAAGGTTTAAGGCACAAATGTGTGCTATTTTTGCCATAGTTAAGAGTGTGTGTCGGGCCTTTCATACTTAAAGAGTAAGCTGTAAGAGAAGTCGAACAGTCCCTTCTGTTTCCAGTCTTTCTGGTTCTGAGGCATCTCAGCTTTCAGCAAAGCTTTCAGGTGTCTGCTCATGGTGCTGTTGAGGGCAGCCAAATTCATTCCCATAAAGTGTCTGTAGACACAACAGTTTAGAGGAGACACAAAAAGAAATAATTTACTGTCACTGTACATTATGTCATGCTAATTGCTGGTGTGGTCAAAACAGTGCAATTACTCAGTGACACATATTAAAATTCACCAGGTGACTTAGTTGCCCTACATAGAGTTGCAAGAAAAAGTAATTCCACTGTTTGCAATTTCCTGGTTTTCTGCATAAATTGGTCATGAAATGTGATTTGATCTTCACCAAAGTTACAAATATCAAACACAATATTTCTAAGCTGATAAAACACAGTCATGACCTTTTAGGTCTTTATTGAACAGACATATTGTTTATGTTTTATCATCTTAAAAATATTATTATTATTATATATTAATATTATGTTTGTTGATATTTGTGACTTTGGTGAAGAACAGATCAGAGTTCATGACAAACCTATGGAGAAAACCAGGAAACTACAAGCATGACCTTTTCTTGTGACTTGTATTATACGAAGTAAATTTATGGGTAGAGTGGTAAGATGATGAGTAAAGAAAGAAGGGGAAAACTCAAATGAAAAATCCAAGAAACTCTAAAAATGGATTCCCTGAAATGGGAAGTGTGTTCTATAAAAACATCCACAGCTATACTGTTCATTACATACCATTCATAAGACCAGAGCTGGTGGATTTTCAGAAACAAATTTCACTTCCACATTTATATGAAATGAAATTGAAAACCTACAAGCTACACCTTCAGTCAGGAGTGCAGAGTATTAAGGACATACAGTGTCATCATGGCTTTTGCTTTAGCCATCTGCCGGTGTGAGAGCCGCAGCTTGAAGATTCTCTCCATCAGCACCTGTGCATAGCGAGTAAAGTCCAGGGACTCTGAGTCATTCATAACCGAGTCATATGAGTGTGGATCCAGCAGCACAGTCACGTAACGTCCAGCAACACGCACCTGCAGAGCATCAGTGCACAGCAAGGGTTCACAATTTGAAAACAAGCACAAAATTCTATGTCTCCTCTAAAATACACTTCCCTCTATCACACATAGGAAATGGAGCTTTCTCATGTTCCCCTTTTGTTCTGATTCCACATTAAAACATTCAGTATCATCTAATGTGTAGAATAGTAAAGTTTCTTCTTGACTTTGGCAACAGCAGTTGACAAAACTATCTCACCTCAAGCCCCATTTAGTAGCTGTCCTAGCATTTTTGACAGAGATGACATTATCATCATCAGTGGAGGGAGTCTGTACAATTTTACAAAACTAAATGCTTAAATCTCAGTCTTCACACTGTGAAGATCAACTTCTAAACTAACAAGGACTATAGTACTTTAAGTCCTTAGAATAATGAACCCTGAACTATCCACAGAAGTGTTATTGTTTAGAAAAAAGTATAACATCTTTAGGTTTCTTGTACTCACTGTGAAAATGTTGCCATGTTTCAGCTTCATTCGATTCAAGAACTTGGAAGCATCTTTTCCAAATTCAAGTGCATGGCCTAACCATGGGATAATGCCTCTGTCTAGAGGCGGATCACTCTTGGATCTAAAACAAAAATTACAATCAGAGTGTAACTGTTTTGTGTATTATCAAGAAAGGGGACCACACATACAGTCCTGGGCAGTAAACAAGCCAGTGATTCAAATACACAATTATTATTTGCTGTCTGCCACAGTTAAATAGATAACATTAATATTTCGTCTTCCAGCTGCTATAGTGTACACACAATACTGTGTTTACATGATGAGGCTTTTATCATGAGTTTAACCTTATGAAGGAGTTGGTGAATTTAAAAACAGAGATTAAATACATATCATTAGCCTACATTACATGTTTTAGTTATTATTATTAGTAGTAATAAAAAAGGCAAACAAAAAGTAGTAAGGCGCCAACACAGGGCCACTTCTCAGATTAACACTAGTAGTTTAACCACATTCCTTGGACTGGAGAAAAAACAAGGCTGCGCACTAACATAACAAAACAGATGGGTTTTCATGGGTGTTGTAGTAAAAACATGTGGTTACTCCTTTCGTTATTACCTACGTTGTTGTGATGATGATAACCTCAGTAGCCTAAAAATGATTTTAAACCAGCCGCGAATTTGCATTAGAATTACTACCGTGAAGAATAAATGCCGAATTTAAGACCCATGCAGCCCAAAGGCGAAAGCAGAGGATGACAAGAACAAACTAGTTTCTGTTTTTAAAACAATGGGTTTCCTTTCTTTTCTTGTCCCTGGTCACAAAGTATGGACGATGTGAATGGACGACAGGTGAATCAAATAGGAACTTACCTCGATCTCTGTGTGAGAATGAAATAGAGCAAAATGACTTGGACAAGCAATAAAATGGTCCAGATCATCTCGTGTTCTTGTGTTTATCTTCCCGGTGCGCAATCACTGGCTTCCCTCAGCACCCACATGGCGTTTATATGTGGCTTCACCCACTGTGACGTCACGCATCGCCGCTCCAGCAGGACTGCACCTCTATGCTGTTCATTAGGCGACCTCTTTAACGTGTGTCGTGCTTGTTTCTTACTTTGTACTTTCACTGAATTTCAACTAAATTTTTGAACGCGGGACATTTACTTGTAACAGAGTATTTATACACTGTGGTATTAAACTCAACACTGCAGTCAAAGGTTTTGACATATTCCCTTGAATTGAACGGGAGAGTATCCAAACTTCTGACTGCTAATGTAAATAAAGGATCTGAGTACTTCTTCCACTACTGCGTTTACAGTATGCCCGTTTGTAGCTGTAACTTGGCATGGCGTGAACAACTGGGCTGATGTTGCTGGTGAGATGAACTAAATGACGGCCAATCCATATAATCATCAAGAACACATGGAGATGCGCACATATTTAAAGCTACAGGTGACATTACTGTAGATACAGTTTTGGCTTTATGAATTCCACTTCTCATTCATTGTGGCAATAGAAATGTTACAAACTTTTCTTACGTCTGGGAGGGCTGTTTTGGCTATGGCTCCCCATAACTCGAACACAGCTCAATGGTTAACAAATAATTCTCTAGTTTGATACCTGTAGTTCATCCCTACTAACCAACATTACGTAACCTACTGTTTACCTCTTTTCATTTTGTTTCAGGTCATTAGTTATGGTAAGGACGGGTAAGCCCACACGTTTGCCTGCTTGGAAATGCCCTGGAGGTGATGGGAGCGTCACATGCTTGTCAAAAGGATAAAGGAAGTTGGTGCCTGCAAATGTTCACGTAAACGCTGCGATATTCCTGTCATTCAATTTGAGTCACTAGACACAATATTTCCTTTTTGGTTTAATGTTACCTCCTGTACTCCCCGTCTGGTGTCACCACATCAAATACGAAATGTGTAATAAAAAGCGTGATTTTTATAGCAACGTGCTGCCTTACAAGTATAAAAAACAAACACACCCCCATACTCTAATTCTTTCCCGCAGCTGTTGCAGCAGCTCAGATATAAAATACTCAACATATATTAAAACGGTTTTCAACCAGAACTTATTCTACTCCGGGTGATAACAATACATTAACTGCCATTTTGTTTAAACTTTTATTAACCAGAACATATGTCAACAGTTCCACAGAGTAGATCTCAGCAGGTTTCTTTACAGTAATAAGAAATTAGAACTTCAGTCAGTGTGTGTTACCTATTAAACTGCTGTCGAACATGAAAAATGGCGTCATTTAGCACATTAAATCAAATAACAAATGCAGTGATTAGACAATAAAACTTGTGTGGTGCGATGGAGAAGAGAACATCAATTAAGGAGAAAACGTTCATCTCCAAAAATAGTATAAATAAAGAAAATCAGCTATGAATATAAATGGAGCATTTATAGGCATCAAGTCATTTAGTGACCTCCTCGTGATCCCTCTCGTGGTCCTCGTGACTCACGGAAGTCCCCGGATGTTTAGCTAAACAGCGCCGGGGTCCGCTTAAGGAGGTAGACTGCGGCATGTAAACCCCCAACATTGACCCAAACTGTTTGCAGCCTACTCCACAGTCCTCCGACCCTCGAGATAGCCTGTGGACGCAATACATTTTGTGATGACAAACAAACGAATGACACATTCGTTTTACGTAAACCAACACTTGTGCTTAGACAAATAAAGCTGGTGGAGACTAGAATCACGAATAATCTGAGTATGAATAAATCTGGGAAAGCACATACCGCATAAAACCAACAGTGACTGGTCACTGGGGCCGAGTTCAACTTCTGTGACATATGACTGTTCTGGGGTTGGAAGTTTTCATATCGCCACCAGTGACTTGTCTTGTTCACAAGCCAATTTATCATGATAAAGCATGTGGGGAGACTTTAAAAACATATCACATTTCAAACTGTTTTAGTTTTGTTACAGCAACATTAAGACTGCACGATCACAACAAATTCAGCATTACTGGTACAGAGTGCCTGATATCTAGTAAACATACTGTCAAATCTCATCAAAACGCGTTATTATACCACAGCATTGTTCTAGTATATTTCATTTGATATTAAATGCTCTGTATTCAGTGTTAGCAGGCCAACAAGATAAATATTAGACTTGCTTAAGGCCAACAATGTCATTCTGGCATGGCAGCATGCCTACAATAGAAACTTTATTTAATATTTATATTGATGTGTCTGGAGCGCTGTGAGGGGAAACTTTGAGGCTACTGCACAGTCTCAGAAAATCCTATACATTAAGTATCACACCAGTCAATGGTTTACTGTAAATCAGGGAACGAAGTACAGCATGTTAAACTGCAGGTAACCATGGCAGTAATACTTGTGGTTCATACTATGTAATCAGCTTTTAATGGTGGAGCTTGTTAACTACTGTTTATACTGATGACGATTAAATAAAAGCATTTGTGATATTTGGAACACAGACAGCATTTCCTTCTTTAATTAATACACCAGGACTTTCACACAGGTCAGTCACTAATGACGCATGTACACATGTATTTAGTTTAAGTTTGACGCTGCCATTTCAAGCTCACTGAGGTGTGGCTAAAGTAGAATGTCTGAATATAAAAGGGTGGAGATACAAACCAATACTATTGCTCTCGAGTGGAACATTGCACCATGTCTATTGTCCTACTCCACCGGTAACAAGTGGCGCACGCCAACAGTGTAATGCATCTGCACCCGGGCCACCGTCAGGAGTTAAAAATAACAACAATAGTGATTTGCTGAGCAGGTACCTCTACCTGTTCCCGCCCCAGTGTAAAATAACGCAGCCTTTGAATACCTATTATTCTTATTACCTTGGCATTGTTGTTTCGGCGTCATTGTCATCAAGGCACAACAATTCTGCTAGTAACAATAAAGCATGTTGTTGGTGTGCTTACTGCTGCCCCCACTTAGAAATCTCTGTACTGGCTAATGTAGCTTTAAGGGTCTGTTGTGGACCATGTCCCATTTGTTTATTTGTGAAGGTTTTGTGCTGTTCTGTGATTAGTGGGCTACCGAGGAAGACTTAGCTGTTAAATCCCTAATAGGGAGTGTGCCAACAACATCCAGATTAACATTTGGATTAAATGGACAGTTGGCATGAGCTGTTATGAGGAACAGGACGGAACTTGCACTGTGACTTATTTGGATCTTCTCATGTAATGGTAAATTTTCCTGATGAAATTCTGTCATATAATGACATTTCTGTTACCTACAAGGGCAATATGGTTACCTTAGCAAAGCATTTCTTGTCCTGTGTCAAGAGGACAGCCTTTCCTGAGCCTGGTCTGCTCACACGGGCCATTTCCCTCAGACAGGAAGGATAGAGGTCCCAGTTTCTCTTCTTAGAGCCGATTCTTTAAGAAAACAAAGGAGAGATTTAACTTTGGGGTCAAGGTACTTTCCATTACCGTATAATGCAGTCTTAATTCATATGGGCTCATCTCATATCTACTTTTAATGGTGAATGAACGCACTAAAAGAGAAGACCACTGTTTCCCATTTTAAAATACATTGTGTGGTAATGAATCAGCTTAGTCAGTCATGTCCTGTAAACCACTGTGATGGTACCTCTTCCCAAAGGGCATGTCAGTGATGATAATGTCAACAGAGCTGGTTTTTATTGGTAGGTTGCACAGATCCCAGCGCACTGTGTCAATGGGCAATCCAGAGGCACTGTGTGAAAGGATCCAAAAAACAATAAAACATAACGATGACCAGCAACCACACAAAACTGTATATTAAAACTGTCTCTTTATGAGACGTCACACTGTTCACTCTCACCTGCCCTTGTCTGCCCTCCTTTTCTGGATGTGACATATGTTATTGACTGTGCGGTTAACTGCCATGTCGTTGTTGTCCCCAGCGATGTAGAAGGAACTGTTAAATTCGATGGCCCCCTGGAGAAGACAACCTTTACACAATTAGCAGGCTGTGCTTCATTATTATTCAAAAGCCTGTTCCTGTGTCTCAAGACAATCACTTAATAAGCTCTGCTTCCTCAAAGCCCTCAGCAAAACACATTTGATGATGTCTATCAGTGGCAGTACTTAGGTTGTGCCCATTGTAGCAAATAGGACAAAATGTGATGGTGTGTGAATGGAAATGCACGAGATACTGCAACAGGCAGAATAAACTGCTGGTTCAAACCACTTGCTGAGTCAGGAAATTAGGAATGTGACAAAAAACATACTGGATTACACACCAAAAGAGCTGAGTGATGAGAATGCACACATTTTCTTTTTTTAGACTAGTAACCTAAATGAGCTAGGACACTGTAAACTCACCGCAAAAAAGGACATGTTACTTAGCACTATCATTTGGCACTTAAACTCTACAGCGTGTAGTTCATTTATGAAGTGAATTTGATGTGTGTCATCATGAGAGTGGATCCAGCTGTGTGCAGATTTGTTGCAGTCAGGCATTTTGGAACAGTGTAATGTGTAGATTTGTCAGTTTGAGGTGATAAACCAGTGATCGTGTATACAGATCATGAACAAATCATGTAAATAACATGCTGTTTATTGTTTGTATATTGTTGTACTGGGTGGGGGCTCACCTCCAGTGGTATAGCTCCGGTCCCACACATTGGATCAAGTATTATGTCAGATGCCTGAGGTTTGCACAGCCTGTCAACAAACAACGGAGTAGGAACATAACATCGATGAAATATGTTGTAAAAGCATATTAACTTATTATCTATCTATTATCCACCAGTTCTGCTATTCTTCTCCTCACAAACAACAAAAAATTGTTTAAATGATTGCTACTCTAATTCATTAGACATTTTCCCCTTCAGATTTATATGACACATACATTTCTACTGTCCAGTCATGCCCTCTTAAAACTAAAGTCGGAATCAGAATGAGCTTTATGAGCCAGGTATGTTGAGCACATGAGGAATCTGATTCCAGTACAGTGGCTCTCAATGTGCATGGGCAATATGCTTCCATAAGGCAGACTTTTCCATAAGACTGACTTTTATCAGAAAGTGAATAAGGAAACATCCTTTGCAGAAACTGTGCCCTACTGCACTTAGCACCTGCCAGAATATGAACATGACTCTCACAAAGACAGAGTGATTCAGTTACTGGCCAGTATTGCCCTGCAGCAATTTACGGTACGTGACACACAATGGCACCTCTCCTTGAACTTTATCCAAGTCTTATTTATAATGTTGGCACTGGTAACATGGTTATGACTTGTATTTGTTTGACACAGCGCTCAGCCTTTAAATCGCTAAGTGAAATGACATCTTCACAATGAGACAGGCGAGAATGTACCCGCATAGTGTTTCTATATAGATTATTAAAGTAATAACTCGGTTATACAAACCACTGTATTCACACAGTGATGCCAGAAATTCTCACTGTCTCCAATTCAACCTCAATGTAATTCTACTTGTACTGTATGTGGCCTTATTGGACCCAGACCTCAGGTGTGGTGCCTAAGTCTCTGTGCTTCAACCACAAATCTGGCCTGTACTGTCACTAATATGCCGCTGGTGCCAAAAACAAATATATGTAATTATTCAAACAGGGATCCAAAATATTATCCGAATCAGAGGAACTGAACTGAACCTATGGACAAACCTGGTCTTCAGCAGACAAATTACCTGTAATTTTCAACCTGTACTTAACAGAAAGATTCATACTGAGAATCCAAGAAATGGTACACAAATAATCCCCTGTGCATGACAGGCTTATTAAATCATTCAAGAAGCTGGTGTTTAAAAACAGAATTAAACCTGCTACATACTCTTCCTTTTGGTGCTCATCTTCAGGACAAATGTTAGTCAGCAGAGCTGCTACTTGTGTCTTTCTCTCAACAGAAAAGGTGTTTTAGTGTAGTGTGATGGTACTGCATAGGTGTATATACTGAGTCAGGGTAAGCATGCACCAAATTCAAAAAATATATTCTCAGCTTGACAGTCTAAGGTCAACAGGATCAGAGAGTGCATCTGGTGCAAACAATGCAAACGGAGTTACCTGAGCATGCCATAGCATAAGGTTGATCGCAGTGTTGTGGGTCCAAAGTGACTGATGTTTCTCCTGTGAAGGCTCTCCTCTGTGAGTGCAATGCCGATCACCATCTCTTCATTGTGTATGTTTAATAATACCTACAATATAGGAACATACATGATTATAAATCAAGTTTAAACCTTACACGTTTTTATATTCAGTCGAGCGGAAAGAACATTAATTGCCAACTCTTTTGCTTGGGACTATTTCTTGGACAAAACAAAAGATCTGACAACATTGTGGGCTTTGAAAATTTGTGATGGGATTTTTTTTTGACATTTAACAGACTAAACAAATGTTTGATTATCTAAGACTATAACCAGCAGATTAAATGATGACATATTAGACAACTTACTATTTACTTCATGTAAACATGCATTTAAACATCAGATAACCCAGAATAGTGTTAGCTCATATTTTTAGCCATTGGATTCCACACATCTGGCAACTGCTAGCAAGCAGTGAAATTGTGTGTGAGAGATTATTTCAGATGGCAGAAGGCTGCAGACTGTCATGTGTGAAAACCTGTTCACTTGAATTTAAAGACACATACACATTATCTCCAACCTTTGATACAAACTGCTGAATTCAATGTGTCTTGGCAATGTGTAATGTAAACAGCTTATCTTCATTGGAAATCTTACTCAACAAAGCTGTGCATTTAACCAAAGATGCCAGGTTTCTTTGGAAGTGTGTAATGGTATTTGCATCAGTCCAGCCTGAACAAGCATGCCTACCTCGATGTCAAACTTCGTCATGTCTGCCTTCCACTGGAAGAACTCTTGTACGGCGCCACCAAAGTCTCTGGCTGCCTCATTTGAGGAAAAGCTGTGTTTGTCACCGGCCCTGCTGCATGTCACACGAAACTTGATGAGCTTGGCCATGGCTGCTGACTCCTCGAGGTCCTGTGCACACGTTTCCGTGTCAGGTGTGCTCTCTACCTCCATCTGGCCTTCAGTAGAAGCCATAGCCTGAGGCAGCTCTTGCCGCTCAGTGTCAGCTACAGCTGCATCACTGGCCTCACTGGTAGGTTTTAATTTGACGCCATTCCCTCCTTTCCGGTGGCTTTTCTTCTTTTTTAGGGCGGTGTTTAGTTTCCAGACCTCTAGTGCATTAGTCCAGGGGAGTTTTGAAGCAAGCTGCTGCAGTTCCATCAGCGTCTCCTCCTGTGCAAAACAGTGATTGTTACCTTGACAGTAATATGTTTTATTTAGCTACAACAGAAGCTGTCTGTTAGTCACCTTTGATTCTTTGAAATGGAAATGATCATATTCCTCGACCACAACAAACAGGTTGTCCACAGACCTCAGAAGATGGACCTACAGTGGGGGAAATAAATAGACAGGCAGACAGACAGCATTTAGGTGCGTTTTTTCTGAGCATTTATACACTTTTCACTTAGCAAACCAGGAATCAGTATATCCCCACTGGCCTCCATGACACAGCGGTTATAATGCATCAAAACAGAAACAACCAGGAGCAATGGGGCAACTACTGGCTCTAAGACTCTGCTTACCTGAAAAAGCTTGTCACTTGTTATTGGAAAGTATATACGACCACGGTCTTTGCTAATTCGTGCGTCAACCCCAATTTTCTCCTTGACCTCCTCTGCAGCAGTGTGTTCGAACCCTGTGGGCACTGTTGCACCAATGGTGACAGTAATGACGTCGCCACTGGTGGCATCAGTTTCAGTGGAGGAAGAAGGCGATGGTCCCACTGTTTCAGGGCCCTGCTCTGCATCCCCATCTCCCTGAGAGGACATGTTGTATCTGTGGGCTGCCTCTAACTAGTGACAGATACGGTATAACTGAGTAATACAGTATGTGTGGCTGCTCACATATAGACAGGAACTCAAACTGTCAATACGGAGTGTTTTTACATTCAGACATACAGTAATCTGTAAAAGAACAACATATCACAAATAACTACTGAGTACAGTCATGGTGATTTACGTCAGCACGATTTTCAATACTGAATAAATAACATGCGATGTTAACGTTACTGCTGGAGAACTAACGTTACCAGTTAACTTAGCTGGCTAATGTTAGCGTTAGGGAGCTAAAAAGTTGGTTACAAATACAATCAAGGTAACGTTAGCCACTGATGTGGCATTTATATAAAACCACAGTCCTAAACTGATGTGTGTTTATATAATAAGCCCACCGGTTGAGCTGCAGAAGCTTATAACAATCTTAAGAAGGTCACTCTATGCTTGCAAAGAGCCACGAGGTAGCAACACGTTCTTTCCGCCATAACAATGTCGATACTTCCGGTCAAAATCCTTCAGAATAAAAGCATAATCTGCACATATTTAATCTGACCAAGGAAATAAATTGTGTAGCCTACTAGAACAGCATAAATAATATATAACGCTGGATTATCAACGGGACCAAGTACACTACATCCCAGGGCTTTAGTTACTGCTACTGGCTACTACTTCCGGGTACAGCTTTACCACAAGTGATCGACAGAGGGTGCCATGATATTAGTTTTTTTTTTTCGCTGAGTGGTATAACGCTGAAGAAAATCATTCACTCAACATGTCAACCACAAACAACAAAGAGGGAGAAAGAGAGAAATGTCTTTGTCATACAGAGGAAGGTGTAGACAAAGAGTGAGAGCTCACTTTCTCCCATTTAATCCCACAGGCAGTATAGCATACCCCAATCCTTTTAGATTCTCATAGGTTTCTGGTAACAAGTATGGTCTGATGGGTTATTTACATTTCCATGTGGTTCTTGTAGGCCTAGTTTATTGTATGGACACTGGGAGATCCACTGTAACTACAATGTTCCCGTTCCTGATCTTTCTGGCTAGAATTGATAAAAGTGTGATCATGTTATTGACTTTTGTGATTAAATGAGTGTTAATCAACATTACACAAATAAAATGAGAATTCTTTCTGTATAGTCACACATAGCTAGGCTTAGGCTTTTTAGTAGCTGACAGGATTAGCATTTATTACACTGCAATGGATTTTTATGATGCTAAATATTGGTCTCTCTTCCATGGACAGTTCCAGCCATAATCTCATTTCACCATTTATCAGTTGTGTTTAATGAAGCTTATGTACAGTGATGATTAGAATAACATTTTTCTTCTCTGTGTCACATTTTCTTGTGTGATTAATTGAACCTCTGGGCAGTGAAACAGCTTTAACTACATTTGAGAATGTGGAAGAAAATACTGTATGTTTGTTTTTACTAGTGTTCTCATTCACTGTGGTTCAAACAAGTTCATTTGCAAAGCACTTTATTATGGTTATGAAAATACATAAATCTTTAATTTTTTTTCATCTGCAGGACTTTAATTGAAAGAAAATACACCTCTTATATGCCTCTCCACATTATGTTTACTGAAAATGTTTTGTTGTTTTTTCAACTTTTTGTTTCAGGTCAACTTCATTCTTTCCAAATGATTAGTAAGTGTGAAGTCTGAGAGGCAAGTGGGCGTGTGTTCACGTCAGGGAAAGAAAAGTCCTGCACAACAGATGGCCAATGTTGCACAGAGTACAGTCAGACATGCCAAAGAATTTTTGCCAGCTACAGTAAACAGTCTTCTAAATACTTAGCAAAGACAACATTTTGCATAATGAACTAGTCTATTCCCTCTGCAAATAGAGTAACAGAGTAGCTGACAGTGAAAAGAAGCTCATAGTAGAAAAGTGTACTGTAGCTTCAGGTTTGCTGCTCTGACAGAAGCTCAAACAAGGTGACAGTGCTGCTGTTTTCTGTGTGTAATTCAGACGTTATCCATGCAACATGAGCAGACCTTGTGAGATGCTCCTATCCTCTAAATGTAACTGCAATAACATGCTATGTGTAGAAAAGACAAGCGTAAAGGCATGAGAGAATATCCTCAGAGCAGTCAGGTATGAAAACCCCTTTGGGAATTTACCTGGAATTTTCTCCCAGTGTTGGGAAGAGCTTGACTGAGAATATTCCTCACAGCCTTCTTTTAATGCATGTCTGTAGATTTTGGGCACAGAACTTAACTGCTTGAAACGCTCAAACGTCGCTATTCTCCTTCCATCATGTTGTTATAGTTGTGTCTTTTGTTTTTCCCACTGTGATATTACTTTCTAAAATAGAAGTGACAGTTACAGACGTACACCTCCTCATTGCACGTCATGCCAAAAAGACATTTTTCTCTGCACTAGTGCTTGACCACTAATTGATAACAGTGTAAATCTACATCAAGTGCCGGTGTGACATGCCTGAGCCATTTAATCAGCATGCTTCTCGCTTCATACCCCGGGTGTGTGACAGAACAGCATATCAGAGATTATACCTCCCAACCTCTGCTGAGATGTGCCACATCTCTTAAACAGTAGCCAGGGCGAAAGTAGCCTAATGCAGAGAGAAATATGGGAGGTTTCCATGGCAATGTTGTTTAAATTGGGGGGGAACAGCAGGCCTCCAGGTATATGATGATAATGATTATCTCTATGTGTGTAACAGTGTATAAGCATCCCATGCAAAATGTGAACAGGAAGGATTCATTTAAATCACATAAACAGATTTGTGTTTGAGTGCGTGCACACACCTTCTATAAATCCCATTTGCACACTGACACTGTGGGAACTACTTTGTGCATCGGGACCTCATCCCCACCATGTACATCAGTAATTTTTGGTGGAGATTTGGTTTAAATTTAGATTGAGATTGGGGTTAGACAAGTATTTGGTTATGGTTAAAGTCAAATAAAGTCTCAATTAAGGATGAAAACAAATGTGTGTGTATATGTGTGTGTGTGTGTGTGTGTGTGTGTGTGTGTGTGTGTGTGAGTGTGTGTAGAGAGAAGGGGCTGGATGATGTTATGAGCAAGATCACGTGACGACCTTTTAAATTCCTGTTTCTCTACAGCGCAATTTGTACGAATGGTGCCTCCTTCCCTCGCTCCGTGTACGCATGTCTGTAGATTTTGGGCACACAACTTAACTGCTTGAAACGCTCAAACGTCGCTATTCTCCTTCCATCATGTTGTTATAGTTGTGTCTTTTGTTTTTCCCACTGAAGCCTTTGAGTTGACCGGTACCAGGAGGAAGACCGGGCTCCTCTGCAGAGAAAAGACCGAGCAGAAAAAGAGAAGAATGCAAGATTGTAGTGCGACTCTAGTCTTTTTCTTGCATTGATTTCTGCGGTAAGCTCGTCTACACCGTCGGACTGAAAGAATACAGAATCTTTAACCTTTTGTTCTCCTCAATGCACGGCCACTAGGAAAGAAGAGCGGAGGAAAGCGGTGCAACGTTACAAGTCGGACATCACCGAGGAGCCAAAAGCGGGGTCTCACCCTAAAACCAGAGGCACGATGTCATCTACGAAATTTAAGAAGGACAAGGAGATCATAGCGGACTATGAGACCCAAGTGAAAGGTGAGGTGTGAATCTGTATGTGTTCGATCCTAGTGCATTGTCTCTGCAGAGCCTTTATCAGCCTGACTCCTGCCTGTCTGTCTGTGCTCTTCTTTTTATTTGTGTAATACAGTACAATCCACATATCTAATGTATACAACTGTTGTACTGTGTTAAACCCCGGTGGTCAGACTTTCCCATCAGATGACAGGTAAAGCGTGACAGGCAGAATGACAAGAGCGTCAGCGTGCGAGGAGCGAACCCGGGGTTTATTTTCCTTCTTCTTTTTCGTGAGCAGATGTTTCTTTCATTAATTCACCAACAGCCAGAGGGTGCGTTTCTGCGTGATGAATGTTGATTTGTCATAAGGTTGTTAGGATCCTGCTTCTACAGGCTTTGTTGCTGGGTAAGATGATCCTTGTATTGAAATGGAGGAATAGGTGCGGCATGGTGCAGCAGTGGTTAGCGCTGTCGCCTCACAGCATTAAGGCTCCGGGTTCGGGCCCTGGCCGACCTTTCTGTGTGGAGTTTGCATGTGGGTTTTCTCCCTGGGTTCCTCCCAAAGACATGCAGCTTGGGTTGATTGGTGACTCTAAATTTCCCCTAGATGTTGTTGTCTGTCTGTCTGTCTGTCAGCCCTATGATAGACTGGTGACCTGTCCAGGTTGTACCCCTTCCTCTCGCCCAGTGTCAGCTGGGATAGGCTCCATCTCCCTACGACCCTCTCCAGGATGAGCACTATAGATTATGGATGGGTGGTATTGTAGTGTGACTGGGGAGTAGGGGTGTGTCAGTGGAGCTCCTAGCTGCCCCTGTGGACAGAGACTGTGAGTTCCCGTGTTATGCGGAGCTGGACTAATGGGGTTTGGCCATCATGTAAATGTGTGTTGATAATAAAAGGGTCGTGCTGTGTATGGGGCACACAGTCGTGCACAAATAGGCAAATTCTGTCTCCAGCTTCCTTCATCATTTGCCCTAGGTTACACTATTATGGCATCTCATTCTTTTGTGGTCTGGGATATTGAGAACTGACATAATAAACACATTGTAGGCTACTGTAAATGAAATGCATTGTCCATATTCCATTTTCCATCTTATAATGGCATATGTGGACCCTGTGTCTTCATCTTTAACCCACAGACATGTTCTCTTGATTCACTTTCAGTGACAGTGACTGTTTCCTCTCACCTAACATGGATAAAACACTGGCCTGGTGTTCCCCTTGACTCATTTCCCACACACATATATTGCAGGTTACACTACTCTTTAGTGACTCAGTGATTATCTCAGATCTGGGTGCAGATCTAGATTAATTCTTGGCAGTGGTTGATTAGTGGATTCATTGCTTACTGGGGTGTTTCAGTGTTTTTACACTTTCTTAGCTTGACAAATATTCGTGCTTTGAGCTGTGGAGACAGTTGATTAAATGGGAAACAGTGGAAGAACTAGAAAATAACATCCCAAGTTCATGCAGGCAGTGATTAAAGGAAGGCCTACGGAATAGACCACACCCAGATAAACAGTCACAAGATATTTTAAGTGACAGTTTATTTTGCTGTGTAGTGTAAAAATGAGGGGTGTGCTTTAGCTACACACTGACAGAGTGCCTTGGTTGGGAGCAGAGATTTCTCTTAGTGGAGCTGGGGTTCAGTTTCAAGGCTCTGGACCCATTATTAGAACTCCCAACCTCAGTGGTTTTACTAATGTTACATCTCAGGAGCTTTAGCTGATCACGTACGAGTCTGAACCTTTTGATTTGTAGGACTGATCTATACACACATTCCTATTTTGTGTAGAAAGTAAATCAGCTATTGATCTGACTGATTTTTACTTACCAGACTTTCTCTCCATCTCTGATCTTACTTTTGTCTTCTGGCACATGCTGGTTATTGTCATGCAAACATGTCTTGTCTCTACCATATCAGGGCTCATCTTATTCTGCAGCTTTCCACTTTTCTGCTGGTCATTTGTTCAGCAATAACGTCATAAATTATTCAGTTTTAGATCCAACTGTGTCATGGGAGAACTGATGTTGTTTTATAGATTCAGGCCCTGCCCTCTGCCTCTTTGCATTAGACAGGGCCCTGCTCACTTGAGCTATGTGAGAGGGTAATGTGTTAATTTATGTAGAATTCTGCTTGTTTCTCGTTCACAACTGCTGTGCTGCATAGCCCGCAGACACAGAGGGCTCTGCTCCTGACAATGACAACCCCAAAACCAGACAATGTTATGGGTTGATCCAGGCAGTGAGTGAACCATAATGAAATTTGGACTGGAAATCGCACATGTCTTATTCTGAGTTATTGCTCTGTGGTTAATGTGCACATGGCAGAAGGGTCCAAATCATCAGTGTGCCCTTGATTGGGTCATAACAAGATCATTCAATTGCTTTATTGGGTATTATGATGTAATGGATGGATGACAGAAAAATCACCTGGTTTCAGCAGTAGTTACAAAAAACTGCCAGCGTTTTGTTTAAATGTGGTGACATAAAAGCATGTCATAACATTTCATTCCTGTGTTACATTGTAATAAATTACTCTGCTAAACCCCCTACTTTTAATGAATTCTTGTCGATCCTTAAGGCTGCCTGCCACAGCTGAGGTCACTGAAGGACCCTGGGAGATGGTGTTCTCTTCATTCAAGCTGTTCAGATGGCATATCGTGCATTAGCATTTCAATAGAGAGGGTTGTATTGTAGCTAACCACCATGTGGTTTCTGGACTGCAGCTCTGCCTCCTCCTGATCCCCAGTTTTATAGGCAGCCTGTGAAGTGCTGCTCTCGGGCTCAACCATCAGCAGCTGTTTGCCAGTGGACGTTCTGAGGCTAAAATATGGCTTCAGTATAAATCCATATGTCCTCATCAGACCTAGAGATACAGTACATATAGCTGTACAGAGAAGTGGTGATGATGATACTGTACCTCCACAGGACAAAGCTTTGAAACCAAACCTGAACAATGAATTGACACTCGTAAATGTAAAGACATGCATGCACCCAGGACGCCATTGCTTTCAGACTAGCTCACTTATATTAAATTGCTCAGGTATTTGCATATTTTTGCTGTGCTGTGGGCTACTTTGACCTGAGGGACAGCAGGTTGTGTTGGCTGAGTTCCCTGAATCCCAGCCTGCAGTGAATCCTTGGAGTGCAGCAGTTTCACTCCACTCTCAGTCTCTGGCATGCTGGAGTCATAGTATTTTCCTGCAGTATTTTGCAGATAAAAATAAGTACGATGAGTGATATAACTAGTTGGCTCACTTAGATAAATTAAGCACTTTGCTGTGATTACCCTTAAGATTGAGCATATGGCATGTATGTAACCACTGTCTGTAACAGAGGGCTGACCACACCAGTCATTAACCACACTGACAGCAATATGCTCACACACGAAGCCAGAGATGCAAACCTACACACATAGATGAATTGTATTTAGAAGTACATGAAAATGACACAAGACTGGCAGTGCTTTCATTGGTTTCTCCATCAGGCGGCAAACAACTGCTCTGATTAGGGAAATTAATGCAGGCTCATGGAAATTGTCCTCCAGATGTACGCATTAGCCTAATGCTCACTCATACCAGCCACACTCACACTTGTTCTTCTATCTCTGTGAGGACACTCACTGGCATAATGCATTCCCTAGCTCCTTACCCTAACCTTTACCGTCAGAACTAGATGCTTAACCCTTACCCAAACCCTAACCTAAACTTAATACTAACCTGTACCCTAGTCCTAACCCTCAAAAAGCTGGTGAGGACATTTTGGCTGATCCTCACTTTCCAAAAATGCCCTCACCCTGTAGCAAAAATACTTTTTTGGTCCTCACTATGTAGCATGTACACAAACACACTCTCTCTATCTCACTCTCAAACACTCAGCATGATACTGAACAGGATGCATGGTTTTCACACCACTGGTTTCAGGTTTCTTTTTGTTGCTAAGTAATTTGATCAACATACATTTCTAAACGAGCTGTGGCAGGTATATGTCACAGGTCAAATCAAGTGTTTGCTTCTTATTTTACTGCAGAGTGCCAACTTAAGTGCCTCCCACAAAGTAAAAGCAGGTTTTAAGTCATGGCATCATATAGTATGTGATCACACATGTGTTTATAATCTATTGTACTCTAAATAGCTTGCTGTATGTATAATAACAGCAGTCTGAGCTCAGCAAATGCCTTTTGTAATAACAAATTGCACTTCTCATCACTTCTAAAGTGCAGGATGTCTTGTATGTTTATAAAGAACATTATAATGACTCTAAAGTGTTGTCAGTTTGTTTAAATGCTGATGAGAATAATGTGAGATGCTAGGTGTGTCTCTGCTTGTTGTTGCTCGTGGCTACAGCAAGCATCTTCTGCTGAGGGAGATAAATGCTCAAAAGTGGTCTGTTAGCAAAGCAACAGTATTTCTAAATATAGCCTGTGGTCACTTTGCACTCTGAACTATCAAATGATTTATTACCAAATGATACGGAATGTGTTGCTCAGTGGCTGTAAGTGCGATTCAGGTTGATACCATCGTAGTTTCATTTAATCAGCATGCTTCTCGCTTCATACCCCGGGTGTGTGACAGAACAGCATATCAGAGATTATACCTCCCAACCTCTGCTGAGATGTGCCACATCTCTTAAACAGTAGCCAGGGCGAAAGTAGCCTAATGCAGAGAGAAATATGGGAGGTTTCCATGGCAATGTTGTTTAAATTGGGGGGGGGGCATCACTCAGGGCTTGTTTGTTTGTGTGGCATGGCAGTGATTAGTAAAATGAAAAAGCAGCTAAATTCTGCTGATGACTTAGTTAGAAGGTATGATTTCATACTTTTAATCTACAGGAATGGCTTAAAGAAAAAGTTTGGCATGTTGGGCAATAAGCTCAATGCCAAGAGGTAGATGAGAAGATGGATAGTGCTCTCACATCTATATGCTAGGTGTGAAGCTACTGCCAGCAGCCAGCTAATTAGGTTAGCATAAAGCCAGGAAACAAAGCGAAACAGCTTCCCCAATTCAGTCCAAATATA